TTGTAGCCATTATTTTCGAACGAACCGTAAAGACTGCTGAAAACGTCTATCCAAAATAAAAATTTCGATTATTTCCACTACAAATTTATAAAAATCCGGACTGCACAGCTGATCCTTCAGTCAGCAGGATGCCTACTTTATCGTGGTCTCGGAGCTGCGAGTTTTGGAAATTAGGCCATGATGCTCAACTAGCACACACACATGCACACACACACACACACACATACACACACACATACACACATACACACGCACGCACACGCACACACACGTACACACGCACACATACACACACAAACACACACTAGTAATATCTCAGAACAACTACAACAAAATGCTTTTGTACACGAAGGAAACGCCACAGAAGCAATTGGAAAAGTTGCCATCAGTCAAGCGTTCCAAAACTGCCCAGATACCACCGTGTGTACCCTATATTATTGATGTTGTTGGGATGCTCTCACAGGTCGTATGCAGCTATGCTAGGCCTTTTGACCGCGGCTGCATGCCTCCAGTTAGTACCCACCGCCTCTTAGATGTATGCGTACCCCCCACTTCGAGGTCGCCTGAGTGATCGTTTGCTTTCTTGCGAGTTCCATTCACTAATGAGCGACATCCACCCGTTGTTAAGCCAGACCTAACCGCCAGATTTATTTTTTCGCTCAGTTACACCTGTACACCGCTCACCTGGCAAACTATCATTGATCAAATATTTGCAACAGCGTGATTACCTTCAATTTATAAGCACCGTTGATCTGCCAAATTTCGAAAGCGATATTAGCACCATATCCAACTTTTGGGATTTCGCCCAGCACTTTACGAAAATCTTTAAACGTCGAAAACAAACCAACAATTGTCATATCATGCTATAATTTGATTGTACATTAGCTGAAACTCACGAAATTTATGTCGAAAGTATCGATAATTTGGCTTTTCACTCGCCTTTCCGAAATTTACACTGTTTTTTTTTTTGAAAATCACGGCGGTTTTTTCCCGAAAATTTATTCAAAACTGAGTTAGGCGACAACTGAATTTCAGAACTTACTGCTGATAAACCATAAAACTCTTCGTCACAAAATTTGACCGCTACCCATTTGTCATAATTCACTTTACAAGCAATGCGGCCAACAATAGCACGAAGGATACTTCCACCTGCAAAGCGAAATATGGAGATTTAAAGATTTTTCAAAACATAATTACCACATATTAACGGTATGCCAGCAAAGAATGAAATGATTTTTCTCTTTTTTTTTTTCAAATATATTTATGAGAATACCATTTTTTTTAAGCATTTGGTAATATTTCACGATTTCCACTTATTACACTTGTAAAAAGTTCAAGCAGC